AGGGAGGTGGGTTTTCATGCTTTCCCTCCTGAATGTTACTATGGAAGTCCACCTCCATCTCCAGGCAGGCTAGGCTGTCACTACTGCTGGATCTCAGGGCTCTGAGATGGAGAGGCTGGCACTATGGTCTGTGACCCAGTGGTCCCAAAAGGGCCTAAGGACCGTTGGCAATCGAAACCAACTCTGTTTAAAGATTTTTAGCCAACTGTCCCTTGCTGGAGGCCCGAAAGGATTTTTTCAACTGCGGTCAAAGCCCTCTGGGGCTCTTCTGAGTCTAGGTATTTGAGAACTTAGTCTACCAGAGTGCATGGCGGTTCCCAAAACATGCTGAGGGGGAGGGGGAACAAGCTCCTGGGGGAGGGAGCTGCTAACGCCCAGGTTGGCTGAGCACCCTGGTTGTCTGCCCTCTGCCTCACCTGCCAGGAACCTCAGGCTTCCACTTCCAGTTCAGCACCTGGGCCTGGAGCTGGGGGTTTCTTCCTGCAGAGCTGGCTTGAAGGGGGAGGTGAGCTGCTGACTTTTTAGCTCTCTAGCTTTTTCTTGGCTTTTGGCCGGAGAGGGAGGAAAAGGAGAGAGAGGGAGGGGGAGAGGGAGGGTGGGTGACAGCTGGCTCCCGGAGCTTCCTGGTCTCCATCTGACTTTCCTGCTGCATTCCTTGGCAGGCAGGACAGAAATGCCTGTCGAGGAGATGCCACTCATCACATGCCAAGGCTCCCTCAGCTCCCGGCCCTTGCTGTTTCAATTTCAAGGAGCACCTTGACAAAGCTCCACTGCGATGAACACCTGGTCCTCTTCTCCATTCTCCTCTGTGGCTTCCAGTGCTTGCTCAGGCACCAGCATCCCCATTTCCCATCCTTGGAGCCCAAGGCTACAGCTGACAAGCCTCTCAAGAGGGCAGCTGAGGCTTCAGCTGAGCTCCTAGGCACAGGTGTCCAGGGAGGCTGATGCCACCATTACTCGGGGCTCCCACGTCTCCTAATTTAAGTCCGTCACTCCACAGAACTGTACACAAGATGCAGAGGACTTTTACTAGCTTCTCCTCCCCATGGTGGAGATCTCATCAGATGGCTTCGGCCACCATCCAAAAAGGAACAATCATATTGCTGCTGTTGAGCCTTGGCTAAAGGCCCTTTGCTTCCTCTCGCCCTCCTCCCATGCATCCCCCTGGTCCTCTATGTCAGAGGCAGCCCCTGATGAGGTCCTCCTCACTTTGTGGTTGACCCTGAAGGAATGAGCATGCCTAAGAGCGAGCAGGGGGACAGAGAGCCCTGCTCTGGCCACCCTCATACCCTCATTGTCATCTGTCAACTGCAAAACCAGGAAGACAGCAGAGAACGGCAGACTGGTGGGTGCTGAGCATTAGGAAGTGGTCTTTAGTGAGAGAAGCGCCCCCCGCCCCCCACAGTCAGTAATGCCTGGGACTTCCCACCAAAGAATCAGAAGGAGAGATGGAAGGTGATGCAAAGGCAACCCACAACGATGAGCCAGATGTTTCCCACTGTGGCTCTCATGTTTTACAGCCATTGTGAAAGGAAGATTCCAGTGGACAGGACTAGGGAAAGACAGGCTCCATGCATTGACCTGAGGTCATATCTGGGCCACCCACCTCTTGAGAAGCTGCTATGTGTTACAGCTCTTCCTGAGACTGGGGCTCCTCGGACCAGGGCCACCATGTACAGTGGTGTGAGTCATTCACTGCACAAGGGCAGCTGAGGGCCAAGTAGGGGCTGAAATCCAGTTTACACTTTGCTTTGCCAGCTGGGCATCTGTGGGGCTGGCCCCTCAGAGGGAGTCCTGTTTTATGTTCTCAATAAAGGTGCAATACGGCCTAGTTGTACCATGTCAAGGACTTTCAGTTATGTCTGGTTCTGAACCTGGGCCCTCCCTGTCAAATCTGCAGGGCTTTCTGCAGGCTCTGTGGCTCTAGTCCACCAAATTACACCATTCTTGGCACAGCATATCCCCTGATATTTGCTCTGATACTCAAGTTCTGGGTAACTCAGAATGAAACTTCCATTGGAAGGAGAAGCTCGTATAGCACTGTCTCTGTTGGGGATTGCAAAGCCCCTTCTACACGCAAACTAGCAGAGCCCAGCAGCTTCCACGGACCACAGTAAACTGCTCCCTAGGATCTCACGTACAAGGGGGCACTTGTGGCCTTCAACAGATAATCCCTCCATGTCACGAGACACCTTGAGACTTAGCAAGAACAATTTGCTTTCTCCAAATGTTCCTCCCTTAAAGAAAGGACACTGCCATGGGAGAAATTCTGTATTCAGATTAAGTCTCTATAAGAAGCTAGCTGACTGAGTGAAGCAGCCACCTAGATCAACATTTCTTGCCACAAATTTGTCCTAAATGGCAGCTGGTCTCACATCCTTGGTCTATGAGCTTCCCAGCTTCACGCCTCCATTTTTCCATTATTAGCCCCATGACATGGATGGTCTTTTTACACATACTTCCCAGCACCATGAGAATGCCATTGAACTAGATTTTCATTGAGTTTTATAGTTTGCAGTGTGTAGCAGGTGAAATACCCATGTAGACCTTCTTTTAGAGAAACCAAGCACTATATGTATATTCTATCTAGAAAATGGCTATTAAATTGCAAGGCGTATTGGTTGGTTAGTTAATTCTGTTTCATTAGAACACTGGGCGGCTGAGACCAGTTCTTGGGTTCCAGCCTCAAGTACTCTGAGAGTTGACACTACAGCCATGGGCCATTTCCTCAAACTCAGTCACATCTTGTGGGCATGTAGTGTTACTCAAGCACAAGGAGCATGGACGGATCAATGCAAATCCATCTCCATCTCCACCACTGGAACCAAATATCAGAAAGTACCACCCATTAGAGTCTTCATAAAAGAACAGCAGGGACTTAAGGAAATTTTTTTTTTTTTGAAGTTTGGGCCTTTTATTATATAGATGCTAAAAATCTCAGATTTTTCTCCTTCAGCCAGTCCTGAAAACAACTCTGGAAGTTCTCCCAAGTGCATACTTCAGACCCTTGGAAGGTGTCTGGTGCTTTCTTGTTCCAAACACTTTGTTAACAGACCTTGGAGAATCATTGAACCAATACCACTTCTGAGATGAATGGACATCAATAAATGCTCTTCACAGAGCTTCATCGAGATCATACTTGCCTTTCTGGACACCCACTTCTCATGAACAGCAGCCTGGAGATGTTTGGACATCTTGTCTGAGTACCATGCTTCCTCTCTCACACCCTCAGACATGCAGTCAACCTGAAGGGCCTCTAATGGGCTGTGGGGGTTCTGCTTTCCTGCAGTTTGCACCTGACAGTCTAAGTTGTCTCACTACACACTAGGCTTGTCAACAAAATCCCTAAACATTCTCCATCCACAGCACCCAGGCCTCAAAAGAGACAGGGAGGCCTGGGCTTTCACTGCTCTCTATTGGGCCATCAGGGGTGAAGGAACTCCCATAGGTCTTGCCTCTGACAGCCTGTGGCACCTCCTTGGTGTGTGAAGCCACATGGCCACGGCAAACTAGCTATTAAGACAGACAAGAGACCAGCAGGCCTTGCATTCTGCAAGTTCTGACCTCTCACGTGGAAAGACCATAGAGAGGGAAGACCAAGGAAGAGAAGGGATGAGTACCCATATTGTAATTGCCACCACTAGAGTTATTGTGATGTTTACATTCAGCAAATTCAAAATAATGTTTAAATTCAATTAAAATGTATCAAGCTATGATAGGTAAATGACTAGGTTGCTTTCAACCCAGAATTCTTAGGTTTTATGTTAAAAGGATGAAATAAAGTTACGAATCACATCGTAGTTAGGTTTTTACAAGAACTTTCCTCTTCAACAGAGGGTGTGAAAAAGGCCAAGTCAGCGTCAGTGGGTTTCGACCCTTTAAGAAGGCAAATTTGGCCAGCTCCACGCATGGGATCTCTGCTCCCTGGCTGCCATCTTGGTTCCCTCTGGTTTGATGTTAACAGTGCAGGCTGGGGCCCATGAACTCAACAGCTGGGTTTTGATGAGTAAGTGAATGAGCAGGATTGAGTACCTCTTGTGCACCAAGCCCTATGCTCAAATCTTGCAGAGAACAGCATGGAAGGGGGATGGGTCTGCTCTTTTACAGACCACAGTACAGAATCTCCACCACGTGCCACAGGAAGACCTACTCCTTCAGCACTGTCACCTTGACCATGGGGTCTCCTCTGCACCACAGTGTGGGTCTCTACCACCCTCTAAGCTGGGTGTGCATGGGGATAAGGCCACCTTCCTGCAAGGATGGTGAACCTGTATCCTAACTTTACTCCCTTTATCAGAATCATGGCCTGGGGAGCTTGACCAGGCCTGGCCCCTGGGAGCACAGGGACAGTACAAGGACGTGTTTCTCCCTCCACCGCAAGGCTACTGCCCTCCTTCCCTGTCACACTATGCAAATGAGGCTGACAGGGGGCTGTAAAGAATGAACTCATGCAGAGGCCACCAACACACGCGCCAGCTAGACCACATCGCCAGAACCCATGCAGCACGGCCGCCTTCTGCACACGCAAAAGCCACCTACGCAGCAGCAGCAGCTCACAACCCACTCCCACGTGACTGCCAGAGTCCACAGAGGGAAATTTGGAATTTTTTCTTTTTTAGATGAGCTACAGTTCTGAGCCAATTTATTTCATGGGACAGTTCGATGGCTTTCTCCCTGGGCTGCTGCAGAAGATGCACCAACCGCGCAGCCCCCAAGGCAGCCGGGTCCTTCCTCCTCAAAGCCCCGAACAGAAGATCAAAGGCGAGGCCTGAGGCTGGGCGGTCGTGTGTGCACCTTCTGCAGAGGGAGCCGCTGGGTCTTTTGCAAATCCAGCCCTCAAAGAGAAGCTGCAGACACTCGCAAAAGAAAGAGGGGGTGTCGAGGGGGAAAGCACTGGACTCCCGCCCACCCCAAAGGAAACGACAACCAAAAAAAAAAAAAAATGAAGAAAAAGAAAAAAACAAAAGAAACGTCGAGGGAAGAAAACCAGCTGAACTTACCACGCTGCGAGTGAACTTTTCTAAGGAAGTTCTACGACCTTGCTCACTTTCTGGCTTTAGGAAAAAAAAAAAAGGTAGGGAGAAAAATACAGAAAAAAAAAATCTTCAGCTTACATGTGGTTTCCAAACAGCAGCAGCGGCAGCTAATGAACAAAAACAGAAGCAAAACGGGGCGAAAAACGGGGAAAGAGGAGCAGCCAGCACTGTATGCGAGAGTCAAGGGGAGAGACAGGAAACAGAAGCCCCCAGGAAACGGTGCTGACCCCTTGGAGCAGCGAGGAGAGAGGGGCGCACTTCTCCTTCTCCAGGGGGCCATTAAGCGTGCTTCAGGGCTCACAGGGAGCCACCGCAGCCTTGCATGGGGCCCACAGCCAGCGGTTTAGAGCTGCCTGCTCACTGCTTTCCGCGGGCCATGCCCATGTGCAGGAGACCCCGGTTGGTTGTGTCCTTGAGGCCACAGGCAGCCATCTGGGGGCCCCAGGTGGTGACACAGAACACAGACTTGCTCTGAGGGCCCATGGGGTGTATAGGGGATGCTGATGAGACATTAGGATGTGGCCGCGGGCGAGATGAAGTCATCAGCTCCTCCATGAGTCTGCGTAGGACTTTCTCTGAGATTTTCCTGCCCAGACGCAGCCAGGAAGTTTGCTAACTTCAGTGACTTCCTAATGGCCCTCTGATGACTCTCGTTCTGGGTCCTTAGAGCAAGGAGGGTCTCCCATGTCCTGTGCAACGACACAGGGTCTTGGGTCTCAGAAGGAATGTTCTGGACAGAAAACGCTCTCAGTGTCCAGGCAGGCCTTCCACAGTTGACTCAGGGCAGATACAGGAAACTCAGGAACCTCCCTGGGCCCTCTTAGCCGAGGTGCCATGGACAGGGGCAAGAGGAGGCAGAGCCCTTGCATCCCCTCAGGCCTCGCCGTTCCCTCTACTGGAGGAGGAGAGGGTGTGGCATGCACCCGACCCATCCCCGAGTTTCCAGAGTTTCCAACCTGCGGGAGTTTCGGGCAACAATTACATCCCAAATACCTGCCAGTTTATCCTGGAGCCCTGTGCCAGGGTCCTGAGCCTGAGATTGGGAAATTCAGAGAGTACACACACTCACATGGACACACACACACACACACACACAGAGCAAATAAACAATGGCTATTAGGGGGCTGAAGAAGCAGCCAGGTGTCTGTGGGTCTGCAGGATGTGCTGGAAGCAGAGGGGGCAGGCGAAAGGCAGCCATCTGCCTGTGTGGACCAGGTGGGAGGGCTTCCTTGACAGTCGTGCCCCCGTCCCCTCCGCTGGCTGCCAGGAGACAGGATGTTGCAGAAGGAAAAACACGACAAAAACGACACACCACTGCAGAGCCAGGCTGGTCTTTCTCCTTGCGCTAGGAACGGAAGGATCTAGGCTTGGCTCTGGGTACCGTACCAAGTCTCCACTCTGCGGACAGCAAGACTCAGCTTCAAGCCAGTGGGCAGCCCAGGTGGCATACATTTGGCTCAAGTCAGGCCAGTCCTAGGCCCTGCAGCTAGCATTCTGTGTCTATCATTCTTGTCCTCTGGCTACTGAGTTGCTGCTCACAGAGGATAGCCACCCACCTGACTCATTCGGGTTCCTCTGCCTCACACAGGCCCTCCATGCTGCCCCGGAAAATCATCATCACTGGTACTTAATTGTCCTGGAGGAGCCCTCAAAACCCAGCTCACCTACCCCTTGAGAGCCTGGTTCATCAGAGCAACTAACCTTAGCTTTGAAAATGTTATGATAGAGGATGAATTGGGGGTGAAGGATCAGAAGGCTGCACTTCCAGACTTCATCAGGCACCTTTCTCAGCAGAAAAGCTAGGCCAATTCATATCCCCTTTCTTAGCTGGAGGTTGTGACTCACATACCTTTTATGACCTGGACATTTCTATCACATGGTCAGCCCCTCCCTGACATCAGAAGATACTCTAGGCCTACCTGCACGTGCCGAGTTACACATCCAATCCACCATACCTGGAGACTCTCAGGGAGAAAGGGAAGAAAAGGTAGGTTTGTCACTGTTTTTCGAAACAATTAACCCCTGAATATTGAAAGGGTGTTGGCATCTGCAAGGGCTTTCTGCCACAAGAACATCCCTTAATTTAGGGGCTGGGAGGATAAATACAATGAACTTCATTTGTAACATTTCACAGAAAGGTCCATGGTTCCTTCCTCACTCAAGTGACCTCCTCTGAGAAGTTTTCCTCTTCTGGGAGGACCTACAGGCACAGGTATCTCAGCCTCACTCCCTACGCTGGGGTGCATTTTCCCTTTGTGCTCAAACCCACAAGGAGACTGAATGGCCTCTGGCTTCTTCTGGGTGTGTAGATAGGTCCAGATTGGTCAGACTGCTAGAACCTCAGAATTTCCCAAATTGTGATCAGTTCAGGGTCTTGAGCCACAAGAAGTAAGGAACACTTACTTTGACCTTCTCCCCTGAGGTCTGGGCTGGAGATACCAAAAGTCTCCATAATCTTTCTTGAAAAATTGGGCATGAGAGCCATTAGCGGGGGTGTCAACCCCCTCCATCAGAGCCCCTCCACCTACGTCCTCCAGCAAGGGAGCTCGCAAAGGCCAGGCTTCACACGTCGCATCATAGTAGGGATGCCTGATGGAAGGCGTGGAGGCAACCAAGAAGGCTGTTTCCTGACAACCTGGGCATTCCAGAAGTCCTTTTTCCTTTCTCAGACTCTCGGGGATGTTCTCAGGGCTACCTAAGAGCAGGAGAGCGGGATATACATGCTCTCCTAGACCCTGGAGTTATGTGGCACCAACCAGATACGCACACAGGAGCCTGGCACATGAGGCTGACAGTACACAGAGAGAAGGGCCACGTGGCTGAGAGAGGCAGCCCAACAGAGAGTGTGTCGATGGACAACCACATGCTTGGGGACTGGGGTTGGGAAGCTGAGAGCAGAGAAGAAAGGGATACGCATGTTCCTAAGTGGCATGTCATGGAAGTCGTGGAATTTGGTGCAAAGAGAGCCACATTTAGCCATACCTGGGCCCCAGATCAGAGCTGAAAAGTGCAGAGGGTTTGCAGGCATGCTGGGATCATGAGCCATCTCTCCTGCCTCCCCTTTCCCTGATCCCATGCCCCTCCCAGCTCTTCCTTCCCTCCTCCCAGAAATCCAGCTGAGTCCATCCCTGCTTCAGTCTCTCCTCACCGCCTGCACGTGGAGGGTCCCTGGGCCTCAAAATCCAGACTCCAAGGGCTGCAGGGAACCATGACTTAATTCTAAGCGGAGGAGGAAGAAGGAGCTAGGATGCAGTTACTTCTTGGTTAAACAAAAAGGGGAAGACTGTGGGGCAGGTGAGGAAGATTAAGGGGGTGTCAAGGAGGGAACAATCCCAGGAAAGACTTCAGGTGCCAGATCGCCCCCTTGAAACTTATAAGGTTTTCTGTCCAATGAGGGGGCTGCCCTGGTCCTTGCCTCAGACTCCTCTCTGAGCTGGTCAGGGAGAAGAAGTCTGGGGGGAGGGCACTGGACTTTGCAGTGAGGGGCTCTCTCTGGTTTCCTAAGGGATCCACTGGTGTCACCGCCAGCCCTGTACTCCTGTGCTGAGCCACTGTGGCCTTAGTATTTGGTCACCCTGCCTGCTGTGGGCAGAACATGCAGACGTTAGATAATGGGGACCTGGAGACAGGATGCCACATCCTGGACCTTGGGGGTGGGCTGGGGTGGTGACAATCCTAATTGTCTTCCATTGGAGTGGGAGCAGATAGAGAAGGGAAAGAAGAAAAGAGAAAACAAATAAAACCCACGGGATGATATTCTCATTTCACACCAGCAGCAAGCAGAAGGCAAGGGTCAACAGTGCTAAGAAAGGCAAGCCTGCCCTTCCCAAAGATACCTTCTTCTTGGCCAGCAGCAAGTCCTGGTAAGCATTTGACCGGAGGAAGCGCGCATAGCTGTCACTCTTCATCAGCTTGTAGATGTGCTCCTGGGAAGGAAGGAGGTGGGAAGACACAAGAAAGAACTGTCAACCAATGCCAAAGGGGATTACAACCCAACTGGCCACTGTTTTAGGAAAGAAACAAATGAACCAGTGTATGCTTGTATGTACCTAGAAAAACTTGCAACATGTTTGTTTTCCCCACTCAGAAACACCAAACAAAACACATTTTCTCTCTTAGAATAAAAGATCCTTGAGGATCATGTCCCAGAGGCTTTGTAATTGGGCTTTGGTGCCATGGTGGGATGCAGTATTGCTTAATCACTAAAACCACAGGCACAGCAATGAGAAGGAACAAACTGTGGATGCACCCCACCATTTGGATGAATCTCAAGGGAATTGTGATGAGTGAAAAAGCCAATCCCCAGAAGGTTGTACACTGTACGATTCCATTGATATAACATTCTTGAAATGACAAATCATAGAAATAGACAACAGATTAGGGGTTGCCAGGGGTTGGGGATGGGAGAGGGGAAAGGAGGGAGGTGTGTCTATAAAAGACAATAGGAAGGATTCTCGTGGTGATGGAATGGCTCTGTATCTTTATACATCTTGCACATGTGATAGCGTTGTATAGAACTACACACACACACACACACACACACACGAAAACACGAGTACAAGGGAAGTTGGATCAACTCAGTGGATGCAGCTATGCCAATATCATGGCTGTGACATTGTACTCTAGTTTTGCAGATGTTACCATTAGGGGAGACTGGGTAAATGCTACATCTCTTTACCATTCCTTACAACTGCCTGTGTGTCTGGAAATCTCTCAAAATAAAAAGTTTTATTAAAAAACAAACATCGCAGGCAATGATGCAACTGGGTCAGTTGCGCATGTTGGGGCCGCCATCTTATCCTAGAAGGGTGTCCTTGGCGACCAGATCATGGGGCATGTGGGCAACTATGCCAGCCCTGAGGCTTACATTCAGGAGGGGCAGAGGCTGTGGCACGCTGCCCTCTCTTCTGGGCTCCTAGAGGCATTTACATTCTGGCCTTGGCGATGAACTTCACCCTTGACTTCCAGCTAATTCCTGGAGCCTTGTGGGCCCTTCCTAACAGATCTGTCCTCACCAAGGGCAGAGAAAGCCTGGTTCATTATAAGAGGGAGCTTGTTGATTGAAAAAGGGTTATTTATCAGTTGAAATGGAACGCAGCTCAGTTGCACAGGAAAGCCTGGCTGTCCCAAGAAAGTACCCGTTTGGAGGGAGGGCAGGCTTTCACTAGGGAGGGTGAGATTGTTAGGCAGAGGCTGGCCTAGCAGAAGAAGCATCTTCCTGATGTATACTCATTGTTCACTCCATGAAGCTGGGCAAAGGCCCCTGTGCTCAGGGGACTGAAGAGATGCTCAGTGAGGAGAGAGTGCTCAGCTGAGCGAGTGGACTGGTCATTAAGGACCTCTTCCTCGGGTACTCTTCCCAGGGAAGGGCACAGGAGGGGGAGGCAGAGACCTCTCCTCAGCTCGGGGGCACATTTTATTTTTTTATTTTTTTGTGAGGAAGATCAGCCCTGAGCTAACATCTGATGCCAATCCTCCTCTTTTTTTGCTGAGGAAGACTGGCCCTGGGCTAACATCCGTGTCCATCTTCCTCCACTTTATATGGGACGCCGCCACAGCATGGCCCGATAAGCAGTGTGTCGGTGCACGCCCAGGATCCGAACCAGCAAACCCCGGGCCGCCGCAGCGGAGCGCGTGCACTTAACCGCTTGCACGGGGGCACATTTTAGAGACAGCTGGCCAGACTGCTGTTGCATCCCAGAGGAATCTGGGGCAACGACAAGAGCTTGCCAAGACCCTCTTCCTTCTCACCTCCAAAGAAAGTGAAAGCAGAAAGCAAGAAACACGTCGGCCACACGTGGATCCCTCTCCGTCCCATCCTCAGCCGGACCACAAGCAGACCTGTCTGGGCATGAGCTTCATTCTTCCTCAGACGCCCCCATATTTACAAAAGCAGGGGTGCAACGCTACTAATGGGAATGGACCCACTGCAAGGAGCCAAGCGGAATTAAATAGCGGCTTGGATCTGGACCTACTTTCATAATCCAGATGTGTTCTGATTTCATACACTTAGAACATGCCTCACTAAGTATTTTCCTGCAAATTTCTGACAAAATCCAGCCCACTCTAGTTTAAGTTCTTTGGGGGAACAATATGTTTTAACCTCTCATATATGCATAGTGTCCAGCGCAGGGTCAAATGTTGGTGGAATTTACATTGTTTCTTGGTTCACCAAAATGCTTGTTTAATTCAATGTTCCCAAAGTTTGCAGGCTCGATATTTGTTTTGGTTTATTATGGGATCAATTCCTGCTCTCTGTATGGAAGGAGAGTGGGGATCACTCTCAGCTCAAAGGAATTCCATACGTGAGCATCTTGGCCCATCCCTAATGGCCTCAGAGCCCAGGCTGAGGTACATCATTGGTCTTTGTTTTCATTTGTTGTCTTTTTAAATTGTACCTAAATCTTAGGTACAAATGTTAACCCAGAGTAAAAATGACTCACTGTCTCCTCTTCTTGTCTCAGGCATCACCGACACAGCCAAGTGGCTCCTGACTCATCTGGAGAGGCCTGTTACTCACGCCTGGACCCTCTCCAAGGCTACAGGTCCCTGCCTCTTGTTCTGACTTCTTAGAGGAATCTAAATCCCAGGTATATCTCACAAAATCCCCCCCTGCTGCCCCAGAGCAGTAAGGAAACCTCTCCTAGCCCAGCACTTCTGGCCTTGGCAACAAATGTCACCCCCAATCTAGCTAATTTCTCCAGCCTCATCGTCGGTAGGAAAAGCCTGGTCCATTAAAAGAAAGAACTTATCAATTGAAAAAGAGCAGGATTAAGCAGAGGCCTAAACATCTAATCACAAAAATATTCAACAAATATTTATTGAGCATCTACTGGGTGCCAGGCACTGTGTGAGGCATTGAGATTATAGCCTGGACGAGACAGAAGAGGTCCCTGCTGTCATAGGGCTTAGATTCTGTCAGGCAAGATTGATGCACAAAGATAATAGACTACTACTGTCAAAGTCGTCTCAGGTCCCAGGTCCGAGCCAGTATTTAATGTCGCTGGGCTCCTTGCAGTGGGCCCATTCCCATTAGTAGGGCTGCACTGTGCTTTTGTAAATATGGGGGCATGTTTGAGCTAAGGTTTACAAAGAAGAGTGCGAGTACAGGTGCTATGAATTGGTGTAAATGGGATGACCTATTCTGCCAGAGGTGGGAAATGGCTGTCTATCAACCAGAAGGATCCTCATCAAGGGAGGAAGATCTGAGCAGACAGAGAGAAACGTATCTCCCGATTCTGTTGGAACTGAGGGTGGGAGAGCCTGGTCTTTCTGCTGCATAGTCTCGTCAACCAGAGCAAGAAGGACAATCCAGGGGCAAACAGGAAGGAGCAGCAGCCAGTAGTGGTCACTCTCCAGGGGGGCGATGTGGGTCAGAGGAGCAGTGTGGGCACCACTCTCATCCTCCCCACGTCACATGGCCCACTCCAAAGCCAGAACCAACGTAGGACAATGTGGGAGAAAGCAGGGAGTGGGAACATGACCTGTTGAGGCGGCTCACAAAAGGAGGTCTCACTCTGTCAATCTCGTTGCTAGCCCTTAGCCATCATTAGGACAAGCTCAGATTACCCTGGAAGGGAACAGCCACCAAAGCAAGAATAGCAGATGCAAGAAGGCACAGGTCTGAGAAAAACAGAACCCGAGACCCTCTGCAGACCTCCTGTGCGCTCTGCAGGGCCTGTGACTTCAGGCTCCTCTAGACTGGGCCTCCTTTTCCCACAGCCTTCAGATCCGTGACTCTCCTTTACCCACCTCTCCTCCCCCAAGAAAAGAAATGGAGCTTTTGATGTACCCAGTTATGGAACTCTGTTCCTTCCTCCTTGCCAGCTTTGTCTAAGAAACACAAAGACAGTAAACAGAGGGCGGGTAAACAGAGTGCTGAGTTTTTTCTGGGAATGAGAATTAAGATAGGACTCAGGGTCTTTGGCCAGTTCCCAAATGCAGTGAGTTTATCACTGCCAGGGACAGCAAGTGTACAAAGCTCTTGGCAGTGACCTCTACTGATTTATGAGGGGTTCTGGTTTGCTTCCCCTGCTCTGCAAACAACCAGTCTTAAGGGAAATGTATATCCAGAATCTGCAAAGAGCAAGAGAGCCACTGGCAAAACCAGTGAGCCCCAGCTGAGAGAATTCCTGAGGGGCTAGAGAAAAAGAAGCTTACTCTTCTTTTCTCTACTTTGCTTTTTCTTGTCTTATCTTCGTTCCTTCCTCCATTCCTCCCGCCCCCTTCCTCCTTCCTTCTTCTCTGTCCCTTACTCCTCTTTTTTTTCTTTCCTTCCTTCCTTCCCCTCTTCCTTCCTTCTCTCCCTCCTTCCTATTCCTTCTTCTCCTCCCTCCGCCTTCTTCTTTCTCCCTCCTTTTTTTCCCCTCTCTCTCTCCCTTTCTCTCTCTTTTCCTAAAAAAGAGACAATCGAGTCGACTATGAACAAGCAGAACTGCCGGGGTCCACATCTGCCTTCCTGACACGTGGGGAGCCACCTCCTCCAGGGAGGGTGAGAATGGAACGTTCTCCATAGGTTAAGAAACTGCTGCTCTAGGGCCTACAACATACTGAACGTCTTAACCACGAATTTCAGCGGGGGGGAGGGAATCACACCCCTGCAGCAGTTGACAGTTATAAGGCAAGGATGTCACCCTGAGGAGACAGTCCACCCTCATTCCCTTCTTGGGCCTGGCCCTGGGATGAGAATCTCTGCTTGCCTGGGATACCAAGGCAGAAGCAAAAACAACTGGAATAAGTAGGGTCCGAGACACATGTGGGAGCTGAAGGGAGCGAGCGGTGCAAGCTGTCTCAAAACCACAACTACTACAAATCAGTATTTTGCTGTGATCATCCCCATTTGGAAATCTTTATTTTTAGACAAAACACAGTGACCCTCACATGCGTGGGGGAAGGTAATCGACAAATGACTGGGGCCTTGGGCCCA